TGGGTTGGGAGGGACCTTAAATCCCACCCAGGGACACCTCCCACTAGCCCAGGCTGCTCCAAGCCCTGTCCAACCTGGCCTTGGACACTTCCAGGGATCCAGGGGCAGCCACAGCTTCTCTGGGAAACCTGGGCCAGGGCCTCCCCACCCTCCCAGCCAGGAATTCCTTCCCAATATCCCATCTAAACTTATTTCTCTCAGAAAAACTCTTTTTTTTTTTTTTCATAAATAACATTTCTTGTATAATTTTTAAGCCTTTTTGCTGTTCCATAAAGGAAGAGATCAGGTTGATTATATAGAGGAAAAAAGGCTAATCCAGACTAAGCAGAGAAAGCTGTTGAGGAAACAAGAGTTAATGTGGTTTTTGTTGAGTGTGTGGCTGGAGCAGCAGCTGTGTGTGCCCAGCAGAGCTGGTTCTGGGGAGAGCAGCTACACCTGGAGACAATTAGATAATCAATAAAGTGCAAATTGGGTTCCAGGTCACACCTCCAAGTCAGCCTTCTCAGCTCGTTGTGCTGTGGGTTTAAAGGGAAACCCATTGTATTTTATTAGGGATGTATCCGTGTTAATCTCAGGAATTGCCAGAAAGGACCTGAAATTGGGCATCCTGATGGTTCTGTTTGGGGAAACTGCTGATGCCAATCGAAATCTCCCTGGAAAAATGGGATTCATAATGGGACAGACCATGGTTGCATTACAAAGGGTTTTCCAAGACCCTCTGTCACACTTCCTCCCTCTTCAGCTCCCAGTGGAGATGCACCCCACAATCCATGCTGCTGGAGTTTCCTGACTTGGCTGGTGTAAGTTCTTTGGGCAGCAGCTGCAGAAATACAAGCCAAAAAGTCTGGGTGAAGCATGTAAAGCCCAGTAACCTCAGTCAGGTCACTGCAAGTGTGTGGGAAAACTGAAAAAAAAAACCCACCAAAACAGCACTTGCATGCTGTTTGGCTGAGGGGTCTGTGCTTTTCCATGTTTTTTCATGGAAATATTTAAGGTTTTTTTTCTTTTTTGGGGAGGCCCTTTTGACAGGTCCTGCCAATGAAGCAATCCCATAAATTATATATACATATAATAAGTATAGGGGCATAAGAATAAATGTCTGGAGCTTGCCCTTCTTTCAGATTTTTGAGATCTTAAATCCATTAATTGTATGGCTGGAAAAAAAACACCCCTAATGCTTCTTTTGTTTGGGGTTGGTGGAAGAAAACCGCATTTCATATATTTATACATATACAGGTCTGTACAGGATCATTTATTACTGGCTTTAAAATGCAGAAATGCAGAATAGTCCTTGTTAAACTTGTTTAAACCTTTCCCTGCTGCAAATTGCTGATGCCAGTTTGGGCTCTGGTCTCACCCTTTGTGATATGACTGAGGGATGGTTTTGGTCACAGAGGTCACAATGCACAGTTTTTGCTGAACAAGCTGGGTGACTTTCTCCAAACAGAAAGAGCTGATGCCTAAATGAGGTTTGATCTGTGACCTCCGATGTACCCTTGGGATCTCCCGTGGCTGGGAGGACAATCCCTGTTACCTTTGAGAGGTTGGATACTGTTTGTTTGGTAAAGCATTGGATTTATGAGCAGGTACAATAATTTTTACACCATTTCTTAATATCTGCTCCAGGTGCCTGGGCTGGAAGAGGGCTCTGCAGGCTGTGCTTTCAGCAGTGGGGATGTGGGATTTACTGTTTGGGGCTGAGTTTTGCTCTCAGTGTATCAGCAGTGAATCCATTTGCATTCATCCTGCCCCTGCTTATTGAGTCATTTTGCTGGGAATGCAAATGTCTTTGTGCAACTAATTTGTTTTGCTGTGCAAGGTTTGCCCTTTATTTGAACTTTATTCATGACTGGAGAGATATTCTATGGAATAATGGACTGGCAGCTGGGATGCCATGGCCTGTGTTAACCTCAGAGGTCATCGAGTCCAGCCAGCAACCAGCACCACGTTCACCCCTGAGCCGTGTCCTCCAGTGCCACATCCACAGGTTTTTTGGACACACCCTGGCCCAGGTTGCCCAGAGAAGCTGTGGCTGCCCCTGGATCCCTGGGAGTGTCCAAGGCCTGGTTGGAGCAACCCGGGCTGGTGGAAGGTGTCCCTGCCCATGGCAGGGGTGGCACTGGGTGGGCTTTAAGTCCCTTCCCACCCAACCCATCCCGGGCCTCTCAGCCCCGTGGCCGGGTCGCCCACTTGTCCTGCTGCCGCCTGCGGTACCTGCACTGTCGGGGGCTCCTCGCTGAGAGGGCGTTTCCTGCTGCATCCCGGTGGGAAGGGCTGGCTCACAAGCATTCCGGGGGTGCTGGGGAAGGAGGAGCCCCGTGTGCCGTGCGGGCTGTGTGATGTGGAGCAGAGAGCTTGTCTCCACGAGATGGCAGGAGCTCCCTTCCCGCTTCCCGGCCTCGGGAGCGGGCGCTGGCCAGCACAGGCTCCTCCTGAAGCGCTCGTGTGACAGCATCGTTATCCACGGCGCTCACGGCTCCGGCACTTCGCTGTGCCCCAGCTGCGGCTCTCTCAACACGGGCGAGGCTGCGGGAAAACGAGCGCGTGGAGCCCAGCCGAGCCCAGCATTCCCTGCCTTTGGAAAGCTGAGCCTCCTGCACACACACAGTGCAGCGCCGCTGCTCCCGCTCTCACGGGTCCCCAGACGGGAGAGAAGCATTCTGGCCACACTGTTGGAATTTTGGTGCCATGTGGGCCACAGAAGTGCCTTTCCCAGGGACAGGACCCAGGGAGGGGCTGGAGCTGTGCCAGGGCAGGGTCAGGTTGGATCTCAGGGAAAGGTTCTTCCCCCAGAGGGTGGTTGGCACTGCCCAGGCTCCCCAGGGCAGTGGGCACGGCCCCAAGGCTGCCAGAGCTCCAGGAGGGTTTGGACAAGGCTCTGAGGGACAGGATGGGATTATTGGGGTGTCCTGGGCAGGGCCAGGAGTTGGACTGGATGGTCTTTGGGGTCCTTTCCAGCTCAGGATATTCCATAATTCTATGAATGATTTTTGATCTGATTAAGAAGCCACAGCTCTTAGGGAGTTGTTCCAGTGTCACCTCAGTGCTAAAACTTCCTTACCTCTGTCATGGTTTGAGAGCCCCAAAAATCCAATTCCCTAGTCCAAACCCCCTCCCACATCTCAACCCAGTGAGAGATGGTTTTTCCAGACACTNTTTCTTATTTATTTTCGTATTTTTATTTTTTTTTTCTAAAATCCTAAAAGCCAGGCAAAATAGAAAATAACATTATTTTATTTCTTTTTTATTATTTATTTTTTTAAGAAATTATTTTCTTATTTATTTTCGTATTTTTATTTTTTTTTTCTAAAATCCTAAAAGCCAGGCAAAATAGAAAATAACATTATTTTATTTCTTTTTTATTATTTATTTTTTTAAGAAATTATTTTCTTATTTATTTTCGTATTTTTATTTTTTTTTTCTAAAATCCTAAAAGCCAGGCAAAATAGAAAATAACATTATTTTATTTCTTTTTTAGTTTTTTTTTTTTTACAATCTGACCCCAAATCAGTAATTTTGGAATTACTGCTCCTCACTTCTGCATCTTTTGTGCTCCAATTCCATGTCACATCCTCACATCCTTTGCCAAGGCAAAGGCTCACGTTCCCCAAGGGGCTTCTTTGGGCTCCCCCCAAATTGCTGCTGCTGCTTGGTGCAAATTCTAAAAAGCAAACTGAAAAAGTCACCAAAATAAATAACCCCCCAGCTTTTTAAGGAAGTTTAACACTTTTAAGGAAGTTTAACACTTTTTTGGGGCTCAGGGAGGCTGGTTGGTGGCTCAGCACCTCCGGGCTCGTCTCTCCCTGGGGAAATGTGGGAAAAAAGGGCATTTATGGTAAGAGGGAACGAGAACCCCGGGGCAGGAGGAGCCAGCCCAGCTCTTCCCTCTTCCTTTTGTTGCCTGGAGGGCGTGGGGAGGATTTAATGAGCTGCCTGTTTAACTGTGCTGGGAGCAGTGGGAGCAGGAGAGCTCTGGGCTCCCCTGCCCTTCCCGGCACTGCCGGGGGTTTGTCCCCGATCCCGGGGCAGGGCCGGCTCTGGGAGCTGCAGGGCAGGTCCCACCCCATCCCTGTCGGGCTCCAGGTGGGAACTGGAGGGGCTCTGCCCACAGGTCCTGGCCTACTTCACCTTCTGCCTGTGGCTGATCCCCTTCGCCTTCTTCGTGTCCCTGTCGGCCGGGGAGAACGTCCTGCCCTCCACGGTGCAGCCCGGAGGTGAGGGGGGCAGGGGGGATAGGGGGGGGATGGGGGCGGATAGGGGGGGATAGGGGTGGGATAGGGTGGGATAGGTGGGACACACGTGCCCCCTGCACCCCATTCCCTCCTGGGGCTGTGGGGAAGGTGGGCAGGGAATCCCGGCTCCGTCCGGCACCTCTTCAGCCCTGGGCTCATGGAATGGCTGGGCTGGGAAGGGACCTGAAAGCCCATCTGGTTCCACCCCCAGGGACACCTCCCACCAGCCCAGGCTGCTCCAAGCCCTGTCCAGCCTGGCCTTGGACACTCCCAGGGATCCAGGGGCAGCCATAGCTTCTCCAGGAAACCTGGGCCAGGGCCTGCCCACCCTCACAGCCAGGAATTCCTTCCCAGTATCCCATCTATCCCTGCCCTCTGGCAGTGGGAAACCATTCCCTGTGTCCTGTCCCTCCATCCCTTGTCCCCAGTCCCTCTCCAGCTCTCCTGGAGCCCCTTCAGGCCCTGCCAGGGGCTCTCAGCTCTCCCTGGAGCCTTCTCTTCTCCAGGGGAACCCCCCCAGCTCTCCCAGCCTGGCTCCAGAACCCTGAAAGGTTTGGGTTGGGAGGGACCTTAAAGCCCATCCAGTGCCACCCCCGAGTTTGGGGGTCCCTGAGGCCTTGGAGTGTCCCCGAGTTTGGGGGTGGCTGCTCACCCCATGGGGGGGTTTGCAAGTGTTTTAGGACGAGCAGGATGGGGGGTTGGGGGCTGTGGGAAGGGGCAGGGGGGGCTGTCCCCACTCCAGGGGCTGGGATTCTCCCGTGGGAGGTCCCTGACCCCCCGTCCCCCTGCAGTGCTGGTCGTGCTCAACCACTACCTGGCCTTCCAGTTCTTTGCTGAGGAGTTCTACCTGTTCTCTGAGGTGAGACCTTGGGAAGGGGCTCAGCCCTGTTCTCCTGCTGCTCCCGGGAGGGGGGAGGGAGGGAGGGAGGGAGGGAAATGCCAGTTTTTGGGTCAGCAGCTCCAACACTTCCAGGGTTATTTTTGCAGCCCTTCCCTGGGGGTTCCTGAGCCTGTTCCCTCCCAGGTACCTGGGAAGCTGCAGGTTCTTCTTCCAGGTGTGGGTTTGGGGCTTTCCCAGCCAACTCCAAACACAAACATGAGTTATTTCTTTTTTATTATTTATTTTTTTAAGAAATTATTTTCTTATTTATTTTCGTATTTTTATT